ATGCAACATGGCAAAAGTTAAGGGATGTTAGGCCTATTTGGCTATTTTTCTTATCAAGTAAGTAATTTCCTGAAAGGGAAAAAAAGATTTGAGAGGAACTTGAATAAGCACTGTATTTGTGGCACCAATCCCAGAACTGGGGCAGGAAGGGGAGGAATGACAAATATTTGTTAAATACTTAATAAATTTCAGGCACTGTCATATAATTTACATTTCTGAAAAACAAGCAAATCAAATATCTTTAATCCCTTTACAGTTTAAGAATTTTGGGTACTCAGAGGTTATAGGATTTATCTAAGTTCAAAGTTAGACCTGCCTGACCCTGAAGCTTGTTTTCTTCATTATCCACAACACCACCCATCCAAGAGTGAGTAGCCTTAGAGTATTTTGCTTTGCACTGACGTTCACAGTATTAGAGATATGCTGAAGAAAATCTAAAAATCAAAGCATTAATGGATTTAAGATATAAATGAAAAAGAATTAAACCTGTTGACATAGGGACTAGGCAGAAAGAAGCGAACTGAAACATGAGAGTGATAAAAAGGATATCTTGATATAAAAAACACATATGTTAGAAATAAAGTAAATGAAAGAATAGTAAAGTAAATGAAAGAGCTGAAAAGAAAAAGACTAGCTATTGTTTAAGAGTCTAAGATTGGTGATAAATTTCAGTATCTGGACACGAAAGACTGTTAAGGAGGTGAAGGAGGTGAGAAAGACAACAAGTTGGTCAGGGTTAGGGTTAGGACTGGTGATGCCTAGGTGTTAACTGAATTGCCCATATAGATACTGAAGCCATCCAGAATGCCAGAAGTTAGAATGGTGCCAGATGTCAAAATCAAGGAGCCGAATGAACTTCGCAAATGGGAGCACAGGGAGAGGCACACACTGTCCGGTCTCAGAGGAAAAACCACTTCTGCACTTGGTAGAAACACAATGGTCTATAATTGGCAATGTGGAATGCAAAGAATGCCAAATGGTGTGAATTTACTGACTGAAGGGCAAGGAAGCCAGACAAGAATTTCCACTCAAAGTTCTATAAAGGAAGAGAGGCCAGACACAGTGGCTCACGCCTGTAGTTTTCCCAGTGTTTTGGGAGGCTGAGGCAAGAGGATCACTTGAGGCTAGGAGTTTCAGATCAGCCTGAGCAACATAGCAAGACCTCATCTCTTTAAAAAAAAAAAAAAAAAAGCCAGGCATGGTGGCAGACACCTATAATCCCAGCTACTTGGGAGGCTGAGGCAGGAGTATAACCTGAGCCCAGGAGTCAAGGGTATAGTGAGCTATGACAGCGCCACTGCAATCCAGCCTGGGCAACAGAGCAAGATCCTGCCTCTTAAAAAAAGGAAGACAGAATTCAGTTAAAAGAAATATTCTGTAAGAAAGTTATTAGAGCAGGGATACAAAGAGTAATAAGCATAGATAAAGGAGGATGGTGACTGGGAGATGAACAGACAGACCTGGGAATTGACAGATAGAGATGAATGAAGGCACAGGTGACTGGGAATATATACCTAAGGGAGGGGGCTATGAAAGATTAAGAGGCAAAGGGATTTGAGAATTGAAGGGACAAACAAGGAATTAACTGGCCTCCAAATTCTGAATGTGACTCTAGAAAAAAAAGAAAAATGGGAGGGAGGAAATCACCAATGAAAAGGGCCCCTGGCTTCTCTCTGAGACTTGATTTGACTAGTCACAGAAAACCTAGTCCACATTTTGCCTACCTTAGAATAATTCCCCAAGTGTCTAATTAGATAACAGAATAGCTTGACAATAATTCTCAGTTAGCAATCATAGTACTACCATGCTCTGAGCAGGTCATTTCCCCTGTTTCCTTTATATTTCCAAGATATAAAGATGAAGTAGCCTATCCAAAGAAAGCACTTGATAGTAGTTTATAAACTTAATTTCAAAATAAGGTGTATTTAAAGAATATACCTTGATATGTCTTCCCATCTATTTCAACTTCATAAGATTCCATAACTTCTTGGATGGCCTCACCAACATCACACAGACGAACATCAATTCCAGCACACTAAAAAAATAATGTATACTTTGTTATTGCAACCAACTTAATTTCTTAATATTTTAAAATAAGGGACTCAGAAAAACTGCTTTGAACATAACTTTCTATATAACAGACTTTGGGGAGGATTCTGGGAAGATGGTGGAATAGTAAGCACCAGGAATCTGTCTCCCCACCTAGACAACTGCACTGGCAGAATCTGCCTGAGGTAACTACATGGGAATCTGGAGTCTACTGAGGGCTGCAACTTACAGGGGCAGGATCAGATGGTCAAGTGCAGTTAATTTCCCTCAGTTTTAGC